AATATTCTTAATTGTGATGGACTGGATTATACGTCAGACTGTACATTGGGAGCGAGGAGTCAGGAACACGCCGGACCACCAATGAGAAGACTCTAGAAGATCTGGATTTCGCGTGTGGATGATATATGTCTAATATCACACATATTCGAGTACTTGCAGGTGAAAACCAACAAATTGGCAGGAGAGGTTGGTAGAGAAAACAGGACTTCAGGTGAACGCAGAGAAGATGGAGTTGATGAAGATAACCAATCAGCAGAAACAACAACACCCAGCACCAAGCACCATCAACGCGAGAGATTTAACAGAGGTTGCCTCCTTCACTTATCTGGGAAGCGTCGTTTCAACTACAGGAGGAACGGACGAAGATGTAAAAGCCACCCAGAATCGGAAACGTAAGGTAAACTTTCAACATAGTGAAATTAGTTTGGAAGTCTGCACTCAGTATAAAGAATGAATTTGGATTTTAACCACAAATGTGAAGACAGTTTTCCTATATAGGTCAGAACCTAAATACTTGAAAATAATGGAAGAAGGGAGAATATCATGCAATAAAATCCTAAAAATTCTGTACATTGTTTAAATATTAATAAAAGCATTTTTAACAGGTTACAGACTTTTGCCAATTTCTGCCTTCGCTGGCTCCATAATGAATATCGAATGGCCATAAAGAATTAGCGACAAGAAACTATGGGAACAAAGCAACCAAGAACCGATTGCTCAACAAATATGCAGAAGAAAAGGTAAGTGGATTGCGAACACGCTGGGGAGACTGTCGAATGACATCGCGCTCCAAGCAGAACGTTCAACAGAACTCGTAGTGGAAATGAAGAGTGAAGCATTCGAAGGCGATATGGAGGAGATGAGAGACTTTGGACAGTCGTGAGCCCAGATAAAGGGCACATCAGAAAGTAGAAGAAAGTGGGGACGTGCTGTTGAAGCCCTATGTTCCACTCACAGCTCAAGAGTACAATAATAATACTCTTCATAACCATTAAAGTTGACTTTTTCAAGTTAGCGACTGTATTTCAACTTTAGGAATATATCAAGTGAGTTATTATCAGATAGAGAAAATTTTCAGATGTCAGACTACATATCTTCCTTTCATTCTACTGAATATCTCTATTAATAGATCATCTTAATGTAATGATAATAGGCTTCATCATTATTGTGTTCTCATTTCTTCAAGAATCATCCCCTTTAAGGTAAAAAAGATTAAAATAAGTAGAATCGATAGGCTGCGAAAAAAGTTTGCACACGTGTACATATAATTCCTACTAACGTGAACTTATGTCGACCATTACCAATTTGTCTTCGGTGTTTCCAATTAAACTTAGGATACTTCACTTCATTGAATAGAAATGAAAACATCTCAGTCCATGAAGAAAATAAAGCCAAATTCAACAAAACGCGTTCCACAAGATACACCTAACGAATCCTCTTCATGATATCATTTCCAATTTTGTTTGAGTTGAACACTGATAGACATGCAATTTGAAATGCGAACTGACTTTGTAACTCATCACAAAAATTCATCTGTTCAGTATCTAACAGCACTATACATAGTCATAAACTTCTGGTATGAAATATGGTCGATGAATAGTTAAATGTAGGTCTACTACTTGTGACAGGAAATTGTATGTAAAGATTATTGCATAGATTTTCTTATTGGATCACGTGTATGATGAGTTTTTTTCCATAATGTAGTTTTGTTTAAAATATGAAAGAAATTTTGAACAAGTTCACTTATCTAATGTTTGTTTGCAGAAGTTTCTTTGATACCAAAGTGGTATTCATCAGGAAGCTATATCAGTTACGGAACTGTTGAAAACCAGCCGGTATCGCGCAAATGTTTCGCCCTGCTTTCGGACCCATCACCGCACCAGGAATCAGAATCTGGACTGCTGTTTTTAAAACATAACTTACCATTTTGAAAACAAACTACATCCATTTGGTTCGCTTACGTCTCCAAACTTATCTTACCAAAAAATGTTTGTTAACTTGTTAGTTGATTTTATAGGGAAAAATCATATCAAGCTAATTCGATTTCTATGTGGTTAATTAGTGTAAGACTTTTTATTTTATCCAGAAATGGATAGTTGATAGTCTACATATGTTAACTTCTTTTCAACGCTTAATTAGCTTCATCTGTGGTTCATTTCAGTAGAAGGCTTTTGCTAATCTAATTTATTTATGACCAGTACTAATTATTGAATAAATCTTTCTTTCATTCTTACCAGCTGGAAAGAAAAACAGTTTTTTAGGAAATAATCTTAAAGTCGTGTAAGTAAATAACTGTATCAGTGTTTGACAAAACAGTTTGTTAAATTAACAATCTCTTGTTGTTTTATTTTTATTTTTTGCCACACCAATATGCTTATTTGGACTTTGTTTTTCACGGTAGAAATGTTGTAATTTATGCCACATGTATCGGTGTTAAATCAAGCAAGTAGGACAAACTATTAGAATACTGATAATTTGTGTAATTCCACAGGATTTTAATTAACTGATTGCAAACTAAAGCAGTGTGGCTTATAATTATCGAAAAAGACAAAAACATGCTCTACCGCGAATTTGAATATAGCACAATTGATTATGCCACGTCCAGTACTATAGACCAATTTATGTTTGTGTGTGCGTGTGGTCACACACACATGGAGAGAAGTAATTACACTTTGTACATAAGTTTAGGGGAACACATTGTAGGTATATTCGGCTGAAGAGTCCTAAATAGGACGAAAAGCACATCCTGGATTCCACTGCTAATCATCATCCACCAAATATGGCTAAATGGCCTGAAAAAAAAGAACTGTGAAACCTCAATAAGCACAGGTGACAGACTGCCAACGTTTTCCATAGGAAAATACTTATTTGATGCGAATCACAAGATTGACATTAAAACAGCTATTAAGATCATTTATACAAATATTTAGGAGTGCATGCAGAAGTACCCTAAGGCGATAGCTATCTGTAAATTAAATCTTTTCTCCCTATGTGTATAAAGACAATTTATTATTATCCTTAACCTACTTTGGAAATGTTTATGTGATTATATTACTAAAAGAAGTCTTACTTATTATCAGTTTTAGTCGGAAATCTCTTATCACTTTTGTTTATTTTAATTGGATTTTCAGTTTTCACATAAACTGATTTGACAAGTGAAATCTGTGATCAAATTTTCCGAAATGTATTGCGCAAGTATGTCACAGTTTTCAACTAAACTTTTTCTTTCAAAAACGTTATTCCAATCTATTAAAAGGACTAAATGTTATATATAGTGATTTTGTGGTTACGCTGTAAATTTACGGAAATAAAAGCATGATTCCAACATATGTTGAAGAAGAGAGAATCAATAAAATACATTTGGATAGTGTCATTCATCAAAGTTGCAAATATCATCAGTACTAATTAAGTCAACCGTAGATATAATGGAGCAAATTTCTAGCTCAGGTGGATGATTTCGATGCAGCTGAGTTCTCTGATCTGGACGGTTTATTTGCGAAGCTTTCATTACCCAATCGATAAAAAGGAAATCCCGTACACAACGCGTCAAACTTCAGGTCAAGGAAACAATCAGTACCAATACAAGTAGCCTAGAGGGTGTGAAAACACACAAAAGCAACCAACCACATTCATCAGGAGAGATGCTCTATAAACTCGTGGAGAAATCTAAAAGCTAACTTCAAATTGAAACATGCTCTGAAAATGTTGCCTCGTAGGGCAATAAAAGCTTTTCATATAAACCATCCAGCTCAGAGATTACAATTGTATCAAAACTAAGTCAACCTTCTTCAAAAAAACCTATATTACTTGTAAAGTAATAGGTTAGTAGTAATATCTAACTGTCTAACTCTGATAGTTGTTTCACTGTGCGTTAAGACTAAAATCGACGTGTTGTGGTCTGAAAGCTGGAAATCAATCCTTACTTTCTGCTATATAGCCAACCAAAACTTCCTTGAGTTACTTACAGTCAAAAAATAACCCAATGACAGTAAAAAGACAGTTACTCGTAATAAAATCTGCGATACTATTCAATAATCTTGATATATAAGAGCTCATTGCTGTTAGACAGAGATAAAGATCTAACAGCTTCTTGAATACAGAACAAGTACCATAAAGCAGATCTGTTAAACTAAAATCAGCTGTAAGAAACACATGAGAATTAAGCAGAGTGTTCCTGGAATGATGGAATTAAAACCCTGTTAGAAAGAATCACGCACCAATGCTTTCCGCAGGTAGTCCAAGATCATAATGACTTTGACCCACTCAAACAAAATGACAAACACAAGGCAACATATTATCAATATGATTACACAGCCACTTAGAAAAGCATTGAAATTAAAGACTGAACAAGAACGAAGATAAATAATTAGGACCAAGTCAACAGATGGTATGCAAATGCCAGAACAATGAAATACAGTCTGGGAGAGATACGGATAATAATCACAAAGTTAGTTGAAACATCGAAATAAGTATCAATATCAATAGTTAATTCGTTCAGGAGGGATTTTCGAAACAGTTATCCTGTTAGACTGTGTTGTGTATAGACCATTATAACTAAATTTCAACAAGGAACACCACGTAATAGAGCGGAAATAATTAAGCATTGAACCATCCTCCTTTTTGTGTAAATATGATTGACTTTATTAAAATATGCACATCTAAAGTCTGAAGTACAAACATGGAAAATAAATCAACAGTAGGTTTCACAAATATTCTAATGAAGTATTTGGAATCAGTTATAACTTTCATTTTTCAAAAATAGCCCTGGTAAACATTTTCAATGACTTTAACTGTTCACAGTTGTGACGAGTTATTAGCCAACCCCTAAAAGAAGAACACGAACTGAAGTGGTATTAGTTTAACTGTCGAACTCAGGCAGCTGTCTATTTGTTTAATCATACATCATCCAACAGTTCATAAAATATGAAGTAAGAGAAGTTTAATACTGTGTGAGATATTAAGTACACATATATTAAATTACAATTAGACAAATTACTTACTGGACTGCAGTCACTATATGTCCGTGAATGACTACTTTTGTTAACTAGAGTATTTCTGTACATGGTTGGTGAAAATGAAGATGATAATAATGGTGAATTATTTGCAGATCTTGTCTTTCCATTAGCTTTTGATGAATGCATCCGAAATCGATTAAAAAACTGATAATTCTTCAATTTCAACGATGGACTTCCTTCTGGTGATCGACAGCTATTCTTTTTTGAACTATATATTGGAGGTAGTGTATTCTTTTCTTTTGACGTTGTAGAATAATCGATTGACTCATCATGGTTATTGGAGACTGAAAGAAAGATATGTTATTTATTGTCAGCTTAAAACTGTGAACGAAAGAAACTGTATGAACATCTTAAGATGTTTGTGATACGAAATAGGTGAAAATGAAAATTCTTCTGACTACACTGAATTACCACACACGGTAATTTATAATTAGAGATTCTCAAAGTTTTACGTTTTAGACGTATCCGGTGATCAAGTAAGTAGAAAAAACATAGATGTTTAGCGACCAACAACGAAATCACTATAACTACTGACAACATGCAAATCATGAAAGATTATTCTGTCAACTAACAACAAAGATTGCGTAAATTAATCCTTTAATAAATCCTTCCTAAACATCAGTCTTGTGTTGTAATTTCAGGATTATTTTTCACATGAAATCAAATACTATGTTTTGTCATTTGAAGGTTACAATCACATACATACTGCAATAGCTAAAGATACACATCACATATTTTATTAATAGTTTTAAATGAATAGTGCAAAGCGGATTTACTTTAATATATTAAAGACTTGTTGGTATTAGATGGTTGGAGGCAATCGGCCACAGGAAGCCTTGGACCTAGGTTTCGTGCTAGTTGGCACTCATCAGCAAGGAGTATCTGCCACATTGAAGGAACTCATGTCCCTTCTGAGATTCGAACTTGCGTCACCCAGTGCTGCAGCCAGAGATGGCGAGCCACCTAGCATGGTGGCCACATTGCAAGCTTGACTGATAGAATTCAGTCTACAGTGAAGATAGGACTAGACACATTACATTAGTTACCAACCAAAATGCAATCAAAAATATTAAAGACTGTTAAAATGTGGACAAAGTTCATTATTTTCCATAGACATAATTTTGGGTGAATAGTTTTAATTCAATATTTATTCAATTCTGTCACTTTTGAGGTGAAGATAGAAGTTAGATAAGGTTATCTACTATCACTTATAATGTTCGGGATGGTGGTAGAGTGGATCGTGAGGCAGATTGTAGGAAATGAGAAGGCCGGAACAAATTGGACAGACCATAATGACCCTAGAACACCAGGATTTCAAGGATAATTCTTACCTCGAAAATTTCCGAGCAAAAATCAACAAGTTGGCAGAAAAACCAACAAAGAAAGAACTTCAGGTGAAATTAGAGAAGACAAGTGACAAAGATATTCAAACGAAAACAACAACATGCTTCAGTCACCATCAATGAAAGAACAGTGAAAGAAGCTATCTCTTTCGTTAATTTAAAAGAGAAAGTATCATTAAAACTACTGGCGGCAAAGATGTGTGCGCAAAAACCAACCAGGGTCAAGAAAGCAAGGGAAACTTCACTACCGTGAAATTATTGTAGAGGTCTACGGGATTTAACACAACGAACATGATCCAAAATTCAAACAAACTAATATCCAGTTAGTGCTTTTTCTATCGTCTGAAGATTTACAGCGTGCATTATCGAGAACATTTCAAAAAGCTTTTGAGGATTTTCACCAACAGCTCTCTTCACTCGATACTGAATATCAGATGGTGGGCTAGAAAGGATAAAGAGCAAGTAACCATCACAGTAGACTGCCAAAGAAACTATTGCTCAACAGATATGCCAGTGGAACTGGACATGGATTGGACATACTTTGAGGGGTCTTTTAGGTGGAATCACAAGTCGTGCCATCTAGTGGGCCCGGAAACGAAGCAGTGGGTTTAGCGTCTGAGGGTGACATCTAGATCTTGTGGAGAGGAAATGAAAGTTTGTAGGAGCTGGTAAAGCCTGATGAAAATAATGGCGGAGAATCGAGTTCTCTGGAGGTATCCTGCTGAAGCTGTATATTCTACTTGGGATGCAAAGAGATAATAAGAATGATACATTCTAAATTCTACTTATAGAAGCATAGATAAATTTTCTTCTCAGTTATATAAAAATACCTTCTGAATCTTCCCTATGCTCAGGAAGTAAAAACAGTTAAACTACAAGTTATAAAATCAAACATGAAGAAAATTTCACATAAACTACAAAATGTATAGCTTATGAATGAAATGTATTATAGAATTCTTCAGTAAAATAAGTTACCACTCTAAAACAAGTATGTTTTACAACTTATGTGTTCAAACAAAGAAAAATATTATCATAATTAGTTAGAATGATTAAAAATATCCTCTTTAGTAAACCAGTTTTCTTTTAGTCAAAACATTTTTCTAGACCTAATTTATCATATTCAAAGTTACTAATGCTTTTTGACACTGAATGCAACAGAAAAATATCTGTGTTTTAAGATAAATGGAAGTTGACAGAGGAACTCAGTTTGAGTGTCTCTGACTATGGTACAGGATGCAGACTTTAATTTCAAAGGACGCATAACACTTTGACTGTGGTTACAGATACATTTCGCTAAATACTAACGAGCACGAAGTTCTGGATAAGGGTTTTATTATAGATAACTCCTGATGTCGGTTTCACTTTTAGTATCATGTTTGTGCTTTTAAATCTGTCATGTATTATTTTTTAATGTAAGCGGTTATGTGATGTCTAGGGAAGTAAAAGTATGTGAGGCAGTCACTCCCGCCTAGTTTTTGAGTTCACTAGTTTATTAACTGGTCCTTAGCCTGCAAAAGAGACAAGGCTTGGTGTGGGGCTAGCAACTCTACTCCGAAAAATCAGTGCGGTCACTACAGAGACTTGAAAGCATTGGAAAATATAGAAAAATAATACTTAACAAGTCTACATCATAGCGATACTGTGAACCTGATGAAATATGAAGCAAGTACTGACATTTATGGGTTATTCAGTAACATAATAAGGTTATATAAGGCTGGAAGTAACAGTGTGATAATGCATAGGTCTTTGGTTTGCCGTAAAGAATTAAACTATACTTTAAACGTTTAAAAACACTAAGATTATTGATGTAAGAGATGGCTGAAGGTTAAGTGAAAATCTGGGTTGTGGTCTAATTCGAAACAGTAGTGCCCTGATAGATAAGCTACAGGACTCAACTACCAACCAGATCACCATGTCAATATTATCACTGTGATTAATCTTGAGCACTCAGCTTAAAGAACAGGATTCGGATTTTCAACACAAAATATCAAATCAATCGGTCACTTCAATACGAGTCAGAAAGTTGCACTGCATATCACGAAAAGGATTTCCAACAGCTACCTTCACTAGCTCAGTACTAAAGATCATTGGATCGCCAGAAAGAATTAGCAATAAGAAACTTTGGCGATAAAAGAACCAACCAAGAGCCGATTGCTAAACATATATGTAGGAGAAAATGGAGATGCATCGGACTTAACAGCAGGAGGCTATCGAATTACATCACACGCAATACAGGCCATCGTTGGAGTGGAATCCAAATAGGAGGCGACGAGTGAGTTGTCGGTGTGAGCGTCACATGAAGGAGCTGAGGGATTATGGGTAATCTTGGGCGCGGACGAAGAGGAGAGCAGCAAAATGAACAAAGTGGAGATGTGTTGTGGAAGCCCTATGTTCCACATGAAACCCAAGGAAATAGTAATGATAATAATTTTCGGACATCATATAAAGTTAATGTCCCAGAGTTTCATTCAACTTTTAATCAATAAGCATTGCAATAATGACTGTCGACCAACTCAAGATTATTTGAAAGTCTCTTAATTATTAAGATTACTGACCATTTATCAATCATAAAACTACTCTAGTGGATTTTATAATACTTTCGACTGAATTCTGATGTGTTATCATATGAATTCCCTAACTTTTTGTTAAAATGTGAAAATTACTCATAGACGTTAAAAATCTTAGTATAATGCAATTATTCGAGTGTGATTTTGTTGATCAATTACATTTCCGTTAGATGGCTGGAGAAGATTCAGACCTAGGTTTCCTGCTTCCTACCACCTGATATCCACGATCGTGAGTCACTTAGTTTATTGACCACATTGCAAAACTGACTAATAACTTGCAGTATGCGCCAACATCAAGGACTAGATGCTAGACCTTAGTTACTTCACAGTGACAACTTAATGTAATGCATATTTAATTCGTTCGAAATTCACTGTTTGCTAATAGAGTGGACAAACGTGTATAACCAAAGTCATAAAAATTCTATAGAATTTCACAACTACTGAATTTGGTTTTTTATCGGGAAAGGGGAAAATCTAGTTATAGCACTAAAAATATACACTGCAACAACAGATTTTAACATTCTCTTTTTTTTCGGTAGTTCGATTCTTCAGGAAGAAACTGAAGATGAGCATTAAATGGCGTTGACATAATAAATTCTAAGTGATTATCTGGTCGACGGTGACTATTCTGAATCCACTCAAGTCTTGACAACAAAAATAAGCAAGGTTAATTATTTTTCTCCTAAGAAATACCGTCTACTGCAATCTTCATAATTATATTGACAGGTGGGAAAAAAAGTATACCATAATAACACTCTCCCAGGTATATGAAGTTCTAAAATTACACAAGAAGCTGCCTTTAAATAAAGAAAAGGGCAATGAGTGGAATCATCTGCACATATGACAGTGAATACAACTTTTAAGGATTTTTAAATATGTCATTTTTGCAAATATAGTCTGTGAAAGTGAAATCGAGTCACTTATCCGTAGTTTTATTACTACTCTTTGTATAATATTACTTATTACTACTACAACTTTTCATGTATTTATACTTTCCGTGCCCCTTTTATTCACAGATGTCAAGTCCTTACAAGGGAATTCAAAGTGTACAATCCATTTTCATCTAATCGAAGTTTGTACAATCCTAGGTACTAATATTCTTTTTCCGATAGTATATCTACTTATATCTGCTAAAGAAACAATAATTTCTTTTATATCAGAGGGTAAGTTGATGACGTAAGTGAAAACTATAAGTAGCAGACTGATATGGATGGTTTAGCCATTGGAAAAAGTATCTATGTAATATGAATTCAGTTTTCTTTTTAAAATACCTAATTTTTTCAACCTTCACTATCATTATGACAAATGACTTGAAAGTAAATTATACTACTATTTTCTTATGTACTGTGTCACTATTGGCATGATATATTTTAA